GATGGGACTGGAGGAGATTATGCTAAGTGAAAGAAGTCAAGCAGAGAAAGTCAATTATCATATGGTTTCACTTATTTGTGGAACATAAGGAATAACATGGAGGACACTAGGAGAAGGAAGGGAAAAATGGGGGGAGGAATTGGAGGGAGAGATGAGCTATGAGAGACTATGGATTCTGAGAAACAGGGTTTTAGAAGGGAGGGGGTAGGGGGGATTGGTTAGCCCGGTGATAGGTATTAAGGAGGGCACGTACTGCATGGGGCACTGGGTGTTACTCGAAAACAATGGATCGTGGATCACCACATCAAAAACTAATGATGTATTGTATGGTGACTAACATAATAAAATTTAAAAAAAAATTACTTTAAAAAAAAGACTACTGATATGAAGGCTGCTAGTTGAACATGACTAAGGATTTCATTTAGACAAATTTTTTGTAGTTTTCTATAAAGAAATATTTAACACTACGTATATCTCTCTCCTCCTCACCTTCTCCCAATCTATCCCATTCCTCCTCTCCCAATCTCTATCAGAGCTCCAAATTTATTTGTAACTGGAGTTTGTATTTATTCATTTGAAAAAAAGTTTATTCTACCACTTCAGAAATTAAATTGGAAAACCATTTAACTATAAAACCTGTAAGATCTTTTTTAAAATCTAAAATTCTTTGATTCTACAGCTCAAAAATTATGGTTTTATTTAATATTATTCTTTACCACCAGCCATGCTGATATGAAAACTGGCTTTACTATTTGTTCTGTATCTCACCAAAGATGCTTTCATTGATGACTGTTCTTGTTCTTTGCTTTTATAAAGTCCTAGTTCTGAGTCTCTTTCTTCAACTATTTTATCATATTGGTGCTACAATAAACAGAGAAAATATTTTAGGTATATTAGAACACAAATAAATTATGTTTTAATAATACTGGTATCCTTATGCATTTAATATTCACAGAAAATGTCAATAAATTCAGTGATATATATATTTGAGCTTTTTTCTGATTTTTCAAGTCATTTTTATTCAAATAACATAAACAGTGAAACACAGAAAACAGTCTTGAAAATAATCAAATACAAGAACAAAAAATTCTTTTTAATTGAAAATGTTGAATTTCATAATTTAAAATATAGGCTAGAAACACCAAGACCTCTTAGAAAAGTTACTGATTCCAGATCTGGGGCAGGAAATACAAGATGAGTCTTGAACATTTTATCATAATAGAAAGCCAAAAAGCTGTCAGAGTTTATTAGGGTCAAGTCAAAAGGACTGGCTCGCTAGTTTGAAGAGCCTCCCACTGGCCAAAAGAGAAACAATTTGAGTGTCAAGGATTAGACTGGATTGAGACATACCAAATATGTTTAAATCTATGAGTTCATAATATTTTTATGAATTTTGTTAATATTTATTATTAAAATACTTTTTAATCCTCATTGGTTACCTCATATATTAAATCCCACCAACAATTTTAAAGATGAATAGGTAGGTATAGCCCACCTCTTCTCTCCAGATATTGAAGGGAATAAAGCTGAATTCCATAACAGAATGATTACTTTTAAAACAACAAAAAATAAAACATACTCACAAACACAACAAACATTAATTCTTTCATCTATTTATACCACTGATAAAAATTTGTTTAGCCTAATATGTGTTAGACATACATAAAGGTATATTTATATCCTTTACCAGATACATATTCTGGGGATGTACTTAAATAGATATAAGGTGGAAAGTGCTGTAAGAGAGTACTAGGAAAATTCAGAAGAAAAAGGATTACTTCCATACATAATAGATGACAAGGAGAGATATTCTCAAGGAAGTGTCACCCAAACTCCCCTTTGTGTGGTTAAGACCTGAACTTAGAGACAGGAGATCAAGAGTATTCTAGCTCTAATCAGTCATTATTGCATAATTTTCTGACAAATCAGAATGCTATCTTGATTTCACCATCTTTATGCGTCAGTATAGCTCTAATTAATAGTTCTCATCACACACACGTTACCTTATGTTTTTCCATAAGTGCTACCATTTCAGCTATTTTATGTTGACATCGTATATCAATTTCTTTCTGTAATTTTACAGCTTCATCAGCTATTACTTTTGCTTTCTCAACCTATCAAGTAAAGTATTTCTTAAAATTAATGCACAAACAAATTTAACTTAAACGCAAAGACCATATATACTACTTAAATAAAATGCAGAAATCAAACACCAGGAAATTAGGAAAGCCAAGTAAAAAATGCATTCTGTTTTGGTTTATTTTAGGGTGTTCTATCAAGTAAGATGATAGTATAACACTGTAATGACCACTTAATCTTCTCAAAATAATAAATACATAAAAATACTTAGAAAACAAAGATACTTTTAAGCTTCTATAAAACTAACCATCTCATATAAATTTATTAAATCTTTTAAAAATCATAACAAGATTAAGAATTGCTTTTCTCTTAAAATGCTAATAAATAAATAGTTTTAATATAACAAATTTTCAAAATATTTAGTTTTTCCTACCTCTTCCAAAAGATTTTCTTCTGATATCTTTTTGTCCTTAATTTCTTTTTGATAGCTGTCAGTCATTTCTTTAAATTTCTGCTTGGTACCTTCTAGTTCTAATTCTAATTTACTGACCTTTGAGTAAAGAAAATAACATTAACATTAGTAAATGTTATGGATTACTTGAAAATATTCTGTATTCATTTTGTGGTTTTGTGAATCTCAAAACATTACTGATTCATTGAAATTATGGCTGGATCATTTTCCTTACATTTTTCATATGGTGAGATGTGATTTTTCACAAAACCCCTAAAACACATATTTAGTCCTGACAAGTAATATTTTAAAAGCAGCCATATTTTATTTTTAATGCATTTCTCAGCAATATTTAAATTATTTGGTCTCAGGTTTAGGTTTTATTACAGTGACTATTCCATTTGGATAGAATACCCATGTGATTCGAAGAAAAAGTGTATTCTTTTTTAAAGAACAGCTTTATTGAGGTGTAACGGATATACACAAAAAACTACACATAGTTAATGTACACAATTTGATGAGTTTAGACATATGCATACACCATGAAACCATCACCACAATTAATATACATAATGCATCCCCTCAAAAAGTTTCCTTCTAGCCCTTTGTTTTCTACCATAAAAACACTTTAACACGAGATCTATCCTCTTCACAAAATTATAAGTTCACAATACAGTACTGTTGACTTTAGGTACGGTGCTGTACAGCAGACCTCTAAAACTAATTTATCTTACATAACTGGAAACCTTATACAAGTTGAAGAAGTCTCCATTTCCCCCTCCCCCTTACCCATTCTAATCTCCATTCTAATCTCTGCTTCTGTAAGTTTCACTCATACCTCATAAAAGTGGAATCATGAAGCATCTGTCCTGTGATTGGCTTTTGTTGTTGAATTGGAAGTGATCTTTATATATTCTGGATACCAGATCATTATGAAATATATTATTGGCTAATATTTTCTCCCGTCTTATGGGTTGCCTTTCACTCTCTTGATACTGTCCTTTGATACATTCAATGAAATTTCTACCAACATTCCAACTATCTTTTGTCAGAAATAGAGAAGTTGATCCTAAAATTTATATGGAATTACAAGGGACCCCGAGTAGCCAAAACAATCTTGAAAAAAAATGGTGTTGGAGGACACATAACCTCCAATTTATAATTTGTAATCATTTGTAATAAAATTTATGACAAATATACCATAATCAGAACTGTGATACTGACATAAGGTAAAATAGAGATCAAGGCAATAGAATTGGGAATCCAGAAATAAAGCCATAAATGGTCAATTTATTTTCAATAAGAATAACAAGACAATTCAATTGGGAAAGAATACTCTAACAAATGTTGCTGAGACAACTGATATTCACATGTAAAGGAGTAAGTTGGACCCTTAACCTCATACCATATAAAAAAATTAACTCAAAATAGATTAAGGATCTAAATGTAATAGCTAAAATTATAAAACTCAGAAAAAAAAACAGGAGTTAACATTCATGGATCTAGCAATGGATTCTATATATGACACTAAAAGCATAAGCAAATGAGAAAAACAAAGTAGATTTCATGAAAAAGCATAGTCTTGGAGAGATTTTCTATAAAGAATATCTTTAATTTCTATTGTTTTCATGTTTGTACAAAAATTTACTGAGTCATGTAGACATGACTCAAATATAGAAATTATTGAAAGAAAGAGAAACCTTAATTGCCACCCACCCTCTAGAATCACTTATTACCATAGAGCTGAATTAGAATTGAGGAGTAGGGTACATATATGGGAGGGATAGGAATTGGGGAAGGGAGGCATAGGTAATTTAACAAAGAATCAGACTCTATTCTATACTCATGAGTCAACCACCAATTTTAAGACAGAGCATATTATCAATATTGATAAATACTTCTGGGTGCTTCTCTTCATTAGTGTTCCCCTTCTGCCCCTCAAATGTAACAAATATTCTTTTTATTTATTTTTTTTTAAAGATTTTACTTATTCATTTGAGAGAGAGAGAATGAGAGACAGAGAGCATGAGAGGGAAGAGGGTGAGAGGGAGAAGCAGACCCCTTGCTGAGCAGAGAGCCCGATGCAGGACTCGATCCTGGGACTCCAGGCAGTCGTTTAACCAACTGAGCCACCCAGGCGCCCTGTAACAAATATTCTTAATATTCATTTTTCCCTTGCTCTTCTTTATAGCTCTACTGAATAATTATATATCAATATTTCAGAGTTTGTTTTTGAACTTTATATAAATGTTTTCATTGTATGTTTATTTTTCTATCTTGCATTTTTCATTCAGCAGTTTATTTCAGATGAGTGTAAACATAGTTCTTAATTTTCAATGCTAAGCAGTGTTCCACTGTATGAATATACTGTGGTTTATTTATGTATTCAATTGTTCAGACACTGAATTGTATCAAACTTGGGGACAATATACACAATAATGCTATAAATGTTCTTGTATCTCCTGGTACAAATGTGTAATATTTCTTTGTAGTATATACCTAGAATTCAAATTGGTTATAGGGCAGGTTGCATGTTCAACTTTACAAGATAATGACGTTATTTGCCACAAAGTACACGTATCAATTTAAATTCCCAGCAACAGCGTGTTAGGAGTTTCGCCTGCTTCACAACCTCACCAACAGTTGATAGTAACAGTCAAAAGTGCTTTGACTGAAGTTTTGTCATTTGTATTTTCCTAAAAATTTTATGTTTAATTCTTCATGTTTTCTATTCTGTGAAATTTCTATTCAGGTTTTTCATTTATCTATCTGGTTGCTTTATCTTAATGATTTATGGAAATTCTTTATTAATTATAGATTCTAATACTTTGTTCATTATATATGTATAATAGATATTTCTCCCAATATTAGGTTTGTCTCTTTGCTTTCTAAATAAGCAAAAATTATTAATTATAGCATATGTGAATTTATCAATATTTTCAAACATGATTGTATTTTTTACATTGCTTAGGAAATCTTTCTTGATCCCAGAGTCCTGGGATCCAGCCCCGCATCAGGGTCTCTGCTCAGAGGAGGGACCCCTCTCTGCCACTCCACCTGCTTGTGCTTTCCTGCTCTGTCAAATAAATACATAAAATCTTTTAAAAATAAAATAAAATAAAACCATCTGAGTTTAAAGTTTGCTTTTTACGAGATTTTAAATTGTTGATTCAATCTCTGTAATAAGACAACCCAGAGATATTCTGTATTTTTCTCAAACAGTTTGAAGTCCTGCCTTTAACATTACATCCCTAAGGAATTCATTTTTATATGTAGCGTAGGGGTACAATTTCATATTTTTATATATGAAGAGTCAAATGTTTCAGCACTACATATCCATAATACTACCCTCGTATTATATAAAATTACCACTTATGCATGGATCTTTGCCTAGATTCTCTCTTCTGTTAAACTCATTTGATTACCTCTGTGCCAATACTATGCTCTTAATTACCTTTGCTTCACAATTAATCTTTATATCTGGTCAGGCACATTTACTCCACCTTGTTCCTCTTGAGAAATGCCTTAGTTATTCTTGGCCTACTGCTCTTACATTTAAATTTTAAAACCAATTTGTCAGGTTCTACAAAGATCCTTGGTGAAATTTTAATTGAAAATGTAGATCAATTTAGAAAAAAAAAACAGCGTTTTCACATAAATCGTCTATTTTTAAAATTGTATTTTCTTTTTCTTAGGTAGGCTCCACATCCAGTGTGGAGCTCAGTGCAGGGCTTGAACCTACAACCCTGAGATCAAGACCTGAGCTGAGATCATGAGTCAGATGCCTAACCAACTAAGCCACCCAGGAGCCCCTAAATTATATTTTCTAATAGCTTGTTGCAAATTTGTAAAACTAGTAATGATTTCTCTGTAATGACCATATATCTAACAACATTATTAAACACATTTAATAACTGTATTAATTCATCTATAGATTCTTGTAGATTTGCTACATATACAACTCCCATCTAAAACCACAAGTTTTGGGGCACCTGGGTGACTTATTTGGTTGAGCGACTGCCTTTTGCTCAGGTCATGTTCCCAGAGTCCTGGGATCCAGCCCCGCATCAGGGTCCCTGCTCAGAGGAGGGACACCTCTCTGCCGCTTCCCCTGCTTGTGCTTTCCTGCTCTGTCAAATAAATACATAAAATCTTTTAAAAATAAAAAATAAAACCATCTGAGTTTAAAGTTTGCTTTTTAAGAGATTTTAAATTGTTGATTCAATCTCTGTAATAAGACAACCCAGGCAAATTATTTTTTTTGAGATTGTTTTTTGGTTAATCTGCTTCAAGTTTTTCAAATATATTAGCATAATGATGTTCATAGTAAATGTATTACCTTTCAACTATGATTAAAAATACATGTTCCTTGAAAAAGAAAAGCTGAAGGCATCATAATTCCAGACTTCAAATTATATAACAAACAGTAATGATCAAAACAGTGTGGTACTAGCACAAAAGTAGACACACAGATCAACAGAACAAAATAGAAAGCCCAGAAATGAACCCACAACTATATGGT